TTCGAACAAGCATACGATGTCATCAGAGTACTCGAAATCGCACAGCTTCTCTCCAGCTGCCCATTCAATACCTACGTTCTGGAGACCAGTAAGTGCGTTCTCCAGAACTCCGTCTACGACGAAATTGAACAGGAATGGCGAAATAAGGCACCCTTGACAGACACCGATCCTGATTTCGAGCGATTTACTTAGCCCACTGTAAACCTTTACGCTATCAGAAGTATGCAGATACAACGACCGCAATAGGTTCACGTATTTCTGCGCCATTCCTTTGCGAAGCAGCGACCCCAGAAGAGCTTCACGGTCAACTGAATCGAAGGCTACTTCTAGGTCGAGGAACACCGCGATTGTTGGTCGACGATGAGTGTGACGCAGTTCGAGGACTTGGCGCAGAGTTAAGATTTGGTCGATGCAACCGCGACCTGGACGGAAGCCGGCTTGCTGTTCGCGGATATTCCTCTCCCTTAAGGGTATCAGGCGGCGAGGTATCACAGAAGTCAACACTTTTGTGATTATTGGAACTAAACTAATCCCACGGTGGTTAATCCAGTCGTTGCGTGATCCTTTCTTGAAGATTGGGACGATCAACGATTCACCTCAGGACACCCCAGGGATACGCTCCTCCGACCAAATGTTGTGAAGTTAGCTGGTAATTAAGTCGACAAGAGAATCTCCGCCCACCATGAAAAGAATAGGAAGAAGCACATCAGGTCCCGCAGCCTTCAGGTTCTTTAGCGATTGAATGCAGCTTCTGATGAGAGCTCGCAGATAACCACCCATGGAGTTTCCGCAGCACCTGATGGAATGACCGCATTAGCACTTGACCAAATCAACTGTTCACTAAAATACTGCCCAGCGATTCAGTCGTTGTTCTTTATTGTGGATACTGTGTCCACTTTTATCGAAACTGGTCTCACTGACGGGTATGCACCGACCTCAGGTGTAATAGTCCTGGACTATTGCCTAATGCAGAAGCTACCTCCAATTCACTATCTATTTAGTCCACCAATTTTCGCGATCTTTCTTAAGGTATTTTCCTGAATTGACGTTGCAGGTGATACCGGTCCCTATGCCGATCCTGGCAGATTGGATTCTTTTGCTTTTGATCCATTAGGATTACTGACTCCTGAGAGATCCGATGCCTTCGGGGAATTTCGGGCTCAGTCCCACAAGCAAAGTTTGCAGCCGAGTGCATCGCAAATCTAATCTGATCCCACTGTTGGTCTACTCCACTATGTCGCGGTTCTCCTAGCTCCTGTCCCAGCTTCTCCTCATAACATGCGCACACAGCTAGATTGCGCAGACGATGATGATCTAATTGAGGAGGCGATTTCTGTCGATGACTCGAAGAGTGAAGCGTATGAGAACTAGTGCGTGGTCCGACTCAACGCAGGTGATTTAATAGGATCCGCAATTTTGTACTGAACCACGCCAACGGTAGCTTACAGCTACGTGGTCAATTTGGGTCAATGTGGCCGTTGAACTAAATCA